CACATTGAAACATATACACAGTGTCTTATATAGACACTGACACACTCAGATACACTGGCACACACACACATACTGACATACACACACACTCAGATACACACAGTAACACATACACAGACCTTGACACAGAGATACACACACTGACACACTCAGACACACATACTCTTTGACAGACACACATACACTCCCACTGACAAACACGCATACACACACGTATACACTCTCACTGACAAGCACACATACATTCTCACTGACAAACACACATATACTCTTTGACAGACACATACAAACTCCCTTACAGACACACATACAATTTATTTATTTTTTAACATTTTACTCCACCCAGCCTCCCTACCTTTGGGAGTGCTGGCATGTAGTCTCTATGTCCCTGTGGTCCAGTGGGGCTGCTGGACTGAGCGGGCATCCCACTCCCTCTGTTTGCAGTAAAAACTGTAAAAAAAGATTTGTACTCACCTTAAATCCAGCACAGGGTGAAGCTCACGGTGCAGATTTTCCATGCCACCGATGTCACATGGGCCACACGCAACATTGTGACAAGCCTTTGATTAGACCTATTGCCAGCTCAGAGTCAATGTGCATGCTCTGGGTTGGCAAAGGGAGTGGGGAAGAAGAGGGATGTTTTTTATTTTTAGAGAGGAAACCTGCATTCAATGGAGGGAGATGGATCACCAACAGGAACGAGGGAAGGGAGATCTAGCTTGCTTGTGCAGGCGCTCTGCCTACAAGGGGAAGATTTTTACAGCTATTGTCAGTGTGCTGTGCCCGCTGACAACAGATTCAAAATATGCACAGAATTGACACTGGCAACCCAGAAAGGGTTCTTGGCTGACAATGTCAACTAGCCCCCAGCACACATGTGCAAATAACTCAGTATGTGCAATGTTTCAACATGAAATACTGCACATACATACTCCTACTGCCATGACCACTTACTGACAATTACATGGTAGTTGGAGTAACTCTTTAACCCCTTAACCCCTTAAGGACGGAGCCAAATGTACCCATTGTGAACGAAACAAAATGTAAACAAAACCTGGCATTTGAGCTACATGTCTGTCCAACCATAATTCACCTCTTTCATATTAAATGCACCCACCCTTATTATATATCATTTTATTCAGGTGAAACAGGGCTTTCATTTAATATCAAATATTTAGCTATGAAACATAATTTAATATGAAAAAAATGGTAGAAAATAAGAATTTTTTAAATTTTTTTAGTTCTACATTACATTTTAACTGTCAATGTCATAATACTGTTTGCTTTTACTGCAATAAAATACACATATTTGTATTCAGCAAAGTCTCACGTGTAAAACAGTACCCCCTATGTACAGGTTTTATGGCGCTTTGGGAAGTTACAGGGTCAAATATAGCACGTTACATTTGAATTTGAAATTCGCCAGATTGGTTACATTGCCTTTGGGACTTTATAGTAGCCCAGGAATGAAATTTACACCCAAAATGGCATACCATTTGCAATAGTAGACAACCCAAGGTATTGCAAATGTCCAGTCTTTTTTAGTAGCCATTTGGTCACAAACACTGTCTTCTTTTGCAAATGGTATGCCATCATAGGGGTAATTTTCATTCTTGGGCTACCATAGGGTCTCAAAGGCAGCCTAACCAATCTGGCGAATTCTAATGTGAAAAAAATGAAACACAAGCCTTATATTTGACGCTGTAACTTTTGAAAACACCATAAAACCTGTACATGAGGGGTACTGTTGTACTCAGGAGACGTCGCTGAACACAAATATTTGTGTTTCAGAACAGTAAAAAGTATCGCAGCAATAATATCATCTGTGTAAGTGCTTTTTGTGCGTGAAAAATGCAAAAAAACTTCACTTTTACTGGCGATATCATCGTTGTAATACATTTTACTGTTTTGAAACACTAATTTTTGTGTTCAGCGAAGTCTCCCGAGTAGAACAGTACCCCCCATGTACAGGTTTTATGGTGTTTTGGAAAGTTATAGGGTTAAATATAGTGCTAGCAAATTACATTCCCTTTACTTTCGGCATGGGTTGTCAGGCAGGTCCCGCTAATTGTAATTAATTAAGATACCTAATTATGTAAAAATATTACATGAATATATATGTAGAATTAGTATATGTATATATATATATATATATATATATATATATATATATACGTATGTGAATATATATGTGTATATATATATAATTTTTAAAAAATATTTTTATTTATATATAGGTATATATATATATAGTGATATATACGTATATATTTATGTATATAGATATATATATTATTTCATTCTTCGTGTATTTTGATATAAATATATATATATATTAATATCACAATACAGTTAGAACGAAATAACACACATCTATATATTTTTTTAAATTATTTTTTTAATTTTATTTTTTAACGTATTTACATATTTAATTTGTTTATATTATATATATAACAGTAATTATATATATATTTAATCAGTATCAGTCTATGTGTAATTTGATATTAATATATATATATATATATACGTGTGTGTATGTGCATGTGTATATATATATATACTTAGATCATATATATAATATATATGATCTAAGTATATATTTATTTATTTTTTACACTTTTTAACTTTAATTAATTTTATTTAATTTTATTTCTAGCCAGCAGGGGGACCACCTGTCATTACAGGCAGCCCCCCTGCTGGCAATGCTGCAGCCAGCTATCCCGGCCATGTAATTGTGAGGTCCTCACAAGGACCTCACTCTCCCATGGCCGAGGGGGCTGCCAGGAAGAAGATCTGCTGTGGGGGGGCTCCCTGGGAGTCCCCCCAACCGCGATCGCCGGCGTGGGACCGCCGGCGTCCGGGTAAGTAAAGAAAGACCGGAGGGCGTACTATTACGCGCGGCGGCGTTTAGAGCCGCCTAAAATAGGGAGTAATAGTACACCCTCCGGTCTTAAGGGGTTAAGGACCAAACGTCTGGAATAAAAGGGAATCATGACATGTCACACATGTCATGTGTCCTTAAGGGGTTAAGGAAACACATTCACACTGCAATCTTCAAATAAAACATAATAGGTTAATGACATATTTTTCATTTGTTACTATAATTATGGCACTTAATGGCCCATAACCTGTGATGTTGTGGAAAAGACCCTAAAAGCTCCACGTTATTGACCTATCACATTCACCAGGTTAGCAATGTAGAATCATGATAACGTCTTCTGACTTTGGTATTGCAATTGGCAGTAATATATGCTGTAAAATTGGTATTGTGATTGCTTTGAAAACAGTCTCAAGATTCTAGATTAAAGTTGTTGCTGATGCTGGATTGTTATTTGCTATATAATCAGTAAAGATAAATGTTATCACTAATGGGCTACATTTTAGATTGTGCCTTTGGGCAAATGCACTCTCATTTATAAACTCCAAAAGGCGACTATTGTGTTAGTTATAGTTTTTCTAAACATCCTTCATTTTAATTTTTAACCTGGAAGAAAGGATTTGCATGTCTGCTAATCTCTTATGTCAACTGTGATACAATGAAAGTAAACATAGCTATCATCAGGGACAGGAACCTGATGATGTACAATGTGCTTAGTATGTACTTGTAGAAATAGTCTTTAATAAGTCAACCTCTGGGCAGAAAGGAAAACATGTTAATCCCTAATTAAAATGATCAATAGGATCGGATTGATATAAACAATAGATCCAATACCTTCTGTTTTCTGAATAAACATGTTATATAATTGTTGTTTTTTTTAATCAATATCCAGAAGCTAGCAAGATATAATTTTACAATAGCCTATTTTATTCATATTTTTTTCTAGTGTTAATTAGTGCCATATATGGTCTTGATTTAACATTTTTGGAAAAGCTTTTCAAATTATTTAACTTTTTTGCATAAACTTTTCCAAATAATATTTTTAAAATATAGGCTGGTGAGATAGTTGGGCTAAGGTAACATCCCCAGGACGTACTTGAAAACCAGAGTAATCTGAAAGTACCATTTCTGGTTAAATACTTTGTTATTATTATTTTAATATATATATTTTTTTATTCTTTATTTTTGCAGTGCATTGTGGTACAAACATGTTTGCAATGCCACAATAGCTATTACATACATTCAGAAAACATAGTAGACCAGTTGTAGGGCATTTATAAAATATTGCACTTTTTTTTTTTTTTATCAGTGAGAAGATCAAAGGTAAAAGCGCACACACAATACCAGAATTTTTTTTACCTGTAATATATACAATTTTGGTAACCAATAGTAGATGTCCCTGGTATATACTTGGAAAGGACGTATATAGTGGTATGTATTACCTATATAAAAATACAATGAAACAGCAAAACATAGTGTAATCTGTATAAAATATAATAAAGGTGAATGTTGAAGAGCTGAAAGCACTCACAATTTTTTGAGCCAGTTAGAAGTTGGCTCAGACCTTTTACAGCATACATGTCTCATTCATGGACATAGATGGAATTTTCGTTTGGATGGACTCTCCGGACTTTCAGGAACCAGGGGTTTGGAGTAGAAAGAAGATTCTTCCCTTGGATAAATTCTCTGATTGTTATCCAATCTCATATAATGAGAAGTCGAGTCAGGAACCAGGAGTAAAAAATATACTTTAAAAAAAGTTTATTTCTTTTCATAAACGAAATAAAAACATGCACAACGCGTTTCAACCACTAAAGTGTGGTCTTCCTCAGGTGCTGGTCAACCTTGTGTTTTTATATAGGTAATACATACCACTACATACGTCCTTTCCAAGTATATACCAGGGACATCTACTATTGGTTACCAAAATTGTATATATTACAGGTAAAAAAAATTCTGGTATTGTGTGTGCGCTTTTACCTTTGCTCTTCTCACTGTATTTTGGTTTCTAAGTATATGTGGTGACAATATACTTTGGTATTTTAGCTGCACCTATTATTTCCTTTAAGCGCTACCTATAATATTTGTATTCTTTATTTTATCAGTGCTGCTTATTTAGCATGTCATAATACAAAAGTGAAAACAATATGCCATTGTTATACATATAGGTAGCAGTTGGGTGATGGTGTCAATGCACTGTTTTTTGTTTTTTTTAACAAGTAATAAATGGCATGGAGATGCCTGAAGAGTCTGTTAGTTATGGTCTGTGTGGGTCGGTGTACAGGTTCTCAGCTTCTTAATTAGGGATATGCTTGAGTCTTGCCTTGCGGGGCTAAGGTGTGTGTATAGCATATCTGTACTGTCAACGCCACTCTACTTGCCCCAGTGTCTGGGGTCTGTGTGGTGAGGAGATGAGCTGTTAGGAAATGTCTCCTGGGTCTTGTTGAGGGTGTGTATGAGTCAGAGTGTCCTGTGGGAGAGTGATATGGGTTACCCCATATCAGGGAGTGTGGGGGTGGGGAAGGAGAGTCCGTCGGTCATTGTATGACTATCGTCTGGGTCCCCTTCTATATGTTACATGTGAAAGTAAATCAGTCGCCAACATTCAAAATTTCAAACTAAAACAGTTTAGGCCGAGGTATATTTCGTTTAAGGAACTAGAAACATGTCCGGGCTGGTGTCTATCCGCAATGGGCAGTTCTCTTGCCAGGTCTTGGTTTGTGCCCGTTTGTGGTTGAGTCAAGTCCCTGAGCCCCCGGCTCGTGGTGTAAACGGGGGTTACGGAATCTGGATTCCAGGTGCCTGTGGGAGCCGCTGTGGGTGAGGAAGGCAGGTGCCCCTTCTTCCGAAGTGAGTGTATGTGTGACTCCTTTATTTTGAGCTGTCAGAGTCCCGGCTGGTCCCCAGCGGTATGTTATCCCAGCTGCCCGGAGTTTGAGTGTGGTCGGTCTCAGGTTTCTACACCACTGGAGGGTAGCTCGGGTGAGATCCTGAAAGAAAGTTAGTGAGGCGTCTTCAAATGTGAGCGGCGTTTTGCCTCTGGCTGCTGCCATGATCTGAGTTTGGTCGTGGTGTGTCACACATCACAGGATGACGTCTCTGCTCATGTTGGGAGAGGATTTGGGTGGCCCTGCCACCCTGTAGGCTCCGTCGATGGTCATCTTCTTTGCGGTTGTGTGTGGTAACAGTGTGCCCAGTAGTCTCCGGAGGTAATGTGGCAGCTCCTTGAAAGATATATTGGCTGGAATGCCGCGTATTATTCCGGCACTGCCTGTCCTCCATGGATGTCATTTGGAGTAACAGGGCTTTTTGGGCATTGTGTATTTGTTGGATAGTGTCCTGCATGGCAGCCATGTCTGTCTGTACCACCGTGATGTTTGTTTCCGTGGTTTGTACTCTGTTTGTAACCGCCTGGATCGCTGTCTTGAGGTGGTTTAGGTCGGCTGTCCAGACTCTTTGTATGTCTGTTAATAGGGTTCTTGGGTCGCTTTTTGTGGTTGGAGCTGCGCCGTCATCGGGCTCCGTGTCTTGAGTTACATGCATTGGTAGGGGTTGCTGTTGATCCCTTGTTGGGTCTTCCCTCTCATGGGTTTCTGCGGCCTTGTCCACAGGGCTTGTTCTGGTTTGTGTTGGTCGTTGTAGCATGGTGCCTATATCCCTGCCTTCGGGGGCTGTGTTAGGCTTCTGGGATCTGCGGCCCATGATTAGCTCGCGTTCTCGCAGGGTGGGCGAATCTGTGGCTAGTCTGCGGAGTATGGCTTCCAGTCCAAGGTGTGGTGGAGGTAGGCCTTGGTCTTGCGGCGCTGCCTAGACTGTCTGGCCGGTTGGAAAAAAGGCATCTAGTGCTGCAGCCCGGTAAGTAGAGTCCGGGTACCGTGTTTGGTAAGCCGATCGTGGGGGGATTACAGGTTATTTCCCTTATTTTAGTGGCTGATTGTGGAGAGCTGTTGAAGATGGTGACTGATTGGGTTGCTTGCTAGCTCTGCCCCCAATATTGCACATTTTTATATTATTTCACCAGGCTAGGCACACATATCTATACAATGTGTTAGTCGTTGTGTTAGTTCATTTTTACTCTGGGAAGGGCTTCTACACATGGAGAATGGTATCTATAGAATAGTGGGTTAACTCAAACATGCTAGGCCATGTGAGCAGAAAGAGTGAATATAGGTATGCTTAAGGTTAGACTACACAGAGTAGTGCACCCTGTACTACTTCCGGGATGGTTTGGGGTCAGGCTCAGTCTCAGTCAGTCCACCAGGTTTGTGAAGATATCAAGCTTAATGCTGCAGGTTGTTGGTCGTGCAGAGGTCAGTGGTGTCTCCCCCATACTTCATCTTGCTGAGTTAATCCTGTGCTCGCTGTGTAATGGTGTGGACGCCACGCTGGTCGATGTGTCTGCTTCCCAGAGTCCTGTATGTTCAGCCTCCGCCACCTCATACGGATTGCTCGTGCTGTGCCAGGTGTTGGTCAGCAGTGAGCCCTTTGTGGAGGTCCTGGGGAAGAGTGGACAATCTGCGAGATATGCTTGATCTGCCTGTCTCTTAGCTACCTCTAGAAGTTGTTGAATAAGGCGACGTGTGGTGCTGGATATCTCCCCTAGGTAGGCCGGGGCACATGCAGCGTCCGCCATGTTAGATGTACCTCCGTCTGTGCAGGCGATGGTTGCGGCACTAGCAAAGGGCCCAGATGAGTCAGGGTTGCCTCCAGGTTGGGGACTGGCACCACCATCACCAGTCCAAGGAAGGGAGGTGATTGCAGGGTCCCAGTTTCAATATGGTGGGGTCCTGCCTGGGCCGGGCTGGAAGATTGACCATCTCTTCCTTCCACAGCGCCTGTCAGCTGTCACAAATGGTGGTAGAAGTCTTCGGCAAAACATCAGTAGGGAAGCATTCCCAGGTTGGTCAGCCTATGGTAGGTACAAGAGTATGCTGTTGGCCCTAGTTTGAGGGCTAAAAGATCTTTTAAGTGCGGTTTGTGTAAAGTTTCAGTAGAAGCTCTGGTGAAACACAACCTTTCGCCATGACAGTCAGCGACCCCCCCCAAAATCTTAATATATTGATATATTTTTATACATGATTTATTTTTATATTTTATTATTTAGCAATAATAATTGTAAACGTCTATCCAAAAATATTAAATAATTTCAAAGTTTATCCAAAAGTATTAAATTGAGGCCTATGTTCTATAAAATGTATGGTACAAAGTCTGATTTTCACCAATCTGGCTTTCTGGCTTCAATCTAAAAATCTGAAATATCTGATATATTTTCTAATGTACTTCATGCAATAAAAATATAATATATGATATTACTTAAAATATGTGATCAGAAACTAACGTACTTTTAAAAGATGTCTCACTGAGTTTTTCATGAAAGTCAGAATTGTCAGAATTCAAAGTGAATTCCAAATTAAATTCAAAATAACAGATGTGGCAGTCAGCTATGATTCCAGTTTGGTTATTTTAAATTCACTACAATTCTCACGTTTGTAGGTAAACCTGTAAAGGCATTTATTATAAAATATGATGAAAACTGTTTTAAAACACACTTTTTATAACTTTGACCCCCAAAATCTGTTATACATCTACAACCGCCAAAAAACACCAGTGCTAAGTAGTTTCAAAAGTTTGTCCTGAGTTTAGAAATACCCAATGTTAAATGACCACTATAGTGCCAGGAAAACATACTTGTTTTCCTGGCACTATAGTGCCCTGAGGGTGCCCCCACCCACAGGGTCCCACTCCCGCCTGGCTCTGGAAGGGGGAAAGGGGTAAAAACTTACCTTTTTCCAGCACTGGGCGGAAAGCTCTCCTCCTCCGATCCTCCTCTTCTCCTCCCCGTCGGCTGAATGCGCGCGCATTCATCCGGTCACATAGGAAAGCATTCATAATGCTTTCCTATGGACGCTGGCGTGGTTCAAGCACGCAAGCGCCTCTAGTGGCTGTCAATGAGACAGCCACTAGAGGAAATAGGGGAAGGCTTAACCCATTCATAAACATAGCAGTTTCTCTGAAACTGCTATGTTTATGAAAAAAATGGGTTAACCCTAGCTGGACCAGGCACCCAGACCACTTCATTAAGCTGAAGTGGTCTGGGTGCCTAGAGTGGTCCTTTAACAGTAGCACTTTGCTATTTCCAAACCATTTTTTTTCAAAATTAATGCAAGTTACATTGTAACACTGATATCTGTCAGGAATCCCTGAAAAAAACCTTCACATGTATATATTTTTTAAAAGACAACCTAAGGTATTAAACTTGGGGGAATTTTGACTCTTTTCATGCAACCATTTTACCACCAATCAATGCCAAATTAAAAAACAAATTTCATTGGGGATTTTTTTGACACACATAGCAATTTAACAATACAGGTACTGAGAACTTTAAGGGTTACTGCCAAAGAACACCCCAATATGCGTTCAGCAACATCTCCTGAGTACAGTGATATCAACCATGTAGAGGTGTGTCGGGTTCTCTTGGGGCTAAAAGACCTTATTTGGAGGGTGCGCATTCTAGTTTTCCAACATGGAATTGTACTTTAGGCATTGATTCTTTCTTAGTTCCTGTTATGTATTACTGACAAAGAACACCCCAATGTGTTCAGCAACATCTCCTGAGTACCGTGATACCACATATGCTTAGGTTTGTTGGGTTGTTTGGGGGGTGCAATGCTAAACTTCTGACATGTGTTTTTCAAATTTGACATATCTTCTTTGCCTATCTTCTTTTTGGGGGCCTTTTTACAAATCCCAATTTATTTTCTTGCCATGATGTGCATATATTTGAAACACATTAAATATGGCCCCTGTATATTTGAAAAGTTGACACCCCAAGGTATTGTATATGGAGTGTTTTGATCCCTTTGATGCCACCGTTTTAGCCAAAAAAAAATGGAGAAAATGTGTGGTGGTAATTTTTCAATTTTCATTTTTACACACACATTTGTGTGTGATTTAGGGGAGCCTGTTGTTTGTTATTGCAAGAAAACACTCCACGTTGTGTTCTGCTAGGCCTCCTGAGTACACTCATGCCCCCATGCATAGGTTGAACATGATCATAAAAATAGTCTGGCGCAGTAAAAGTAAAGAAAACCTTAAGAACAGTAAATGTAACCAAACCCCTCATGAAACAGACTCTGCATCTTTTTTGATGATTTTGCTTTGCTGCAGTAGGGGGGATTTTAAAACTAAAGTGGGTAACCTCAACTCTGCTGTCTCTCATCACCACCCACCCATATGTCAGTTATTGGCCTTGATGCACACTGGCTTCCTTGTGCTCTCAGTTCTGCCACATACAGAGACCTTCACAGTCCTCTCAGTGTGGATGGTGGTAAGCAGGTACACATCCTTCTTGTCTCTGTACTTAACTCCCA